GGAAGAAACTTGCAAAGATACCCAACTTCAAAAGCTGTCCGTCAGGATACTTACCGGGGACTGGGAACATCACAAAAAGGACCCAGACATTGCACCGTTCTAAAGTGTGCAGAATGAGTTGTATGCAGTGGATGGCCTACTCTTCCGAATGAATCAGATCATTATCCCCAGAAGCCTACAGAGACAAGTCATCAAGGCTGCACACCACCTTGGACATCTGGGAACGACCAAAACAAAGCAAATTGGTTTCCAACCATGAACAGTATGATTGAACAGATCATTGGCCAGTGTTATGAATGTCAGGTTACCACAAAGCAACACAGGCAGGAACCCATCAAAGTTACAGACATACCCAAGAAGCCGTGGGATGTCATAGCTGTAGACTTCAGTGGACCCTACCCTGATGGCCATTATAATCTAGTAGCCATAGACAAGAGAGCAAGATATCCTGAAGTCGCGAAGACCCACTCAACAGCTTTTCAGCCAACCAAGGAAAAGCTCAAAACAATGCTTGTCACTCATGGCACCCCAAGACTGCTGGAAAGTGACAACTGACCACCGTTTAATTCCAGAGAGTTTGCAGACTTCGCTAAAACAGAGGGATTTCATCATCATCGAGTCACCCTAAAACATGCACGTGCTAATGGCGAGGCGGAAAGCTTCATGAAACTGCTTAAAAAGACAGAGCAGATCGCCCACCTTAAAGGCGGAAATAGCAGCATAGCTATTCAAGAAATGCTGACAGGCTACCGCTCAACACCACACCCTGCCACCGGAGTAGCACCCTATGAAGCCCTCATGAACAGACAAGTGCGAGCCAAGTTAGACCATCAAATGAGAGAGAGCAGCGAGAATGCTTGTGACACAACCATCAATGAGAGGGACGAGAGATACAAAGAGAAGCTCAAACAGAACGCTGAGAACAGAAACACCGAGGCACACAACTTCATTGTAGGAGATCATGTATTGCTGAAGCAAAAGAAGAGGAACAAATGGTCCACAGTATATGAACCAGCTTTCTACACCGTAACCCGAACCGACGGATCAAGCATTGCAGCACGTAGGATCACAGATGGACGGGAAGTATATCGAGACCCAAGCCAATTCAAGATTGCTAACGCTTTGATCCAGGTCAATACCAGTGAAGGGAGAGACGACCGGGAAGAAGAACCAAACTCAGAGGATCGGAGAGAGAAAATCCTGCTGAATGCCAACCCTCAGTCAGTCCAAGAGGAGATTATCACCAATGCAGAGGAAGTGGTCGAAACTAGCAGCAGTGACAAAATGGAACAGAACAAACCATCAGAGTTCCCAGCAGCTGTAACCAGACCAAGGCGTGACTGGAGGCGACCAGACTATCTAAAAGACTACGTTACTTAGACTGTACTAAGCTTATGCTTAGCGGACATAGACATTTATATGCCCTGAAACATTTTCCTGTTTCAAGCTTAGAACATTGGACATTTAGGACATCGTTTTCTAGTTGCGTTTTCATTTAAGGGAAAGACTGTCTCTGGAAAAAGGCAGAAACGTAATATCCAGTCCACCATTCCGACAATTTCAGTATAGTTCAGCTTTTCACATGCGCATACATCGCTTTATAGTGCCACGTTGTCAAATGTAGTCGGCCAAGTGTTTTGTTATTAAACGGCATTTATCTAGAGAAAGACTCGCGGGTGTTACAGGCCTGAGTAACAAACAGTTTCTAAATGTTGAACATTTTCATTTTGCAAATATCACAACACACCCCTGAATGGAAAAAGGCTTTATGGGCTTGTTCGAAAGCTAGACTGTCCTAAAATTACAAGTAGTTCCTTAATGAGCAATGCCTGATACACCCTTTCATAATTTATTTTCCAAGTTCAGTGGCTCATAGCCACTTTAATTATATTACAAAGATACATTTACAGTGTAGTCCTTTAACTTCTAATTTTAGGAGCAGGCGATTGATACGTCCAGCGGTACCAAAGGGGAAGAAATTACGTTAATTACACACATTAAACCTAATTTTCAATGCACAAATTCCAAATAGGATAATTTGCTCTTTGTCTGGTTAGTTTTGAGGAAAGTAGGAAGTTTAAACTGAATAAAGAGATATTGATAAAGTCTTTTCAATTTGCACCTTGTTCATTTTCTTTAAGAAGATTGAGCGGCCGTCTTAGTCGTTTAAAAGGAAAGACCAGCATAGGAAAACGTAACGTACGCATCTATGTTGAGAAATTGTAATATGTTTCACTCAAGATACTCCACATATTATTGTCCTCACAACAGAAACAAACGTTTTGGAACATGATGATTCGTCTCAGTCGCATGATTGGCTTCTGTTTTCAGTGGACGAGTTCCATTACCTGAATGCGACTCGAGTTGGATCGTCTATAGCATATGGCGACTTTGACTGTACTTTAAATGCCTCAGGAATCCTTATTGCCTGTCTGTCAATCTGGCCGCCTCCAAAGATGCCAATGGAAAACTTTGGTGCGAGCTGCTGTCCTCTAATAGATACAGAAACTCCTTGGATTACAGAGCAAGCAAAACTTCCCATCATCTTTTCCTTCTGGTAGGGTCTGCTTTATGATACATCAATCTTGCTTGAGTACACTTCCAAAATAATAATAAATATAACAATGGTCAAAAATAGCAGTTGCGGCACTGCTGAACCGTCGAACAATAATCGAATAATAAGGGAAATAAGCGACCGTAGTGATGGGTTAAAATCGCATAATTACGAATCACACTTGTTAAAGCTGGAGACTTGAACTATTGTATTCTCGGAGACTTTTAGGCTATGAGCAGGCACTACATGAAGAAACGCTTTGTGATTCCTGATTTTTTTGGACTTTTCGTACATAGCTAGGCCATCTCTATATAATACGGGAGCTGCGGCGGCCCGAAGATCCCCCAAGCGGATCCCCATATTTACAGAAACCCATGAATTGCTTTTCTCATGCTAAAGACGGCTAGCAGTATTGCTCGTGGGCGCGTACGCGCGATGACAACAGGGTGGAAAAAGGCCAGGCAGTGAAACGGGCAGTCTGCTCTTGGTCCAATGTGCGGTACGGAGAAGGACTGGCACGAGTTCTCCTTCCGCGCTTACGGTGAGATTAATGGCTGCAAAAAATTTCCTCTCGACGAACCGGAAATCAACTTTTCTTTCGTTATTTTTGAGCCACCAGTGGTGTATCTTTAAAATCCTCTTTGATGCTTTAGACCCAAAAGTCAAGACGTTTATGTCTGTTGTAATGATGCTTAAGTAGTTTCGTCGTACGCTGCCCAAATTTGAGTGAATTAAGACAGTGTCGAATGCAGGTATATCCCGCTTATCATGACCAAGCCGTGATCTGCTTCTTCTTTTACGAGTACTCCACAATACTCCACTCTAAATTTTACATATGTTGAATATCGATAGCCTTTACATAACATAGTAGAAAACCAGCTGGATATATTTGGATATAGCAGCGTTTTAGAACTTCAAAGTCTCTCTACTCTTGCCACACGCTTGGTTGGATTTTGCCATAGAGACCCAAAAGAAATAAAATTTTGAGTTTGAGTTTCGCCTGGATTGCAAACCATACGCGATGTTTCATCAAGGCACAAAAACTTTCGTCTGTGAATACTGCTCAGTTTTGTTTGTCAGAAAATCCAATAAATCGCTGGTTGCCGATGAAAAAGACAGAAAAAGAGCGCCCGCCGATGCGTGTTTTGTAGCTATAAACATGACAAATTGGACTTCAATTCTACTCTTTCGTGTAAAAAACCTACATCGAACTCAAACAATATCTCTGGCTTTAAATATGTTTAAGACTGATGAATGTTTGAGAACACATTAAAAGTTTAGCTTGAAATATGGGAACACAACAGAAACAATCAGCACAGTTACGGTAGCGCTTTCATTGATCAACCCGAGTAACGATTCAATTTCCATTTTGTCGTTTGAGTTCTCAAAACTCCACGTCTATTTCATTTTCGCAGTATAAAATTTCACTATGTTGAAGAAACACACATGATGATAGTAGCCTTATAGCGTTGCGATAATTGTTGCATCATCTCAGCACAAAAGATGACGAAAATAATCTTTGTCAAGATTTTATATTGACAATTCACTTGAAAACACCGATTCAGACTTGAAAGTGCACACGCTGCACTATGCAAATTTGCTACTTTCACGCGTCAGATTTATTTTCCTTTCAAAAGCTTCTGCACACTCGCCAAACGAGCAGAAACAATAAGAAACTATCGAAACAGATTTTGGCTATGATTAAACATTGTTCTGAGAAATAACTCGATACCAGAGTAGAGTAGAGAGTTTTCTTGCATAAACTTTATTCTTAAGTAAAAAGCTTACGCGTACAACTAGCGCGAGCAGGTCTTACTCATTTCACAGCGCGAAATTTAAAGTTCTGTTTTCAGCCCTGAAAAACTCACCTTTTCCAATTGCTTCCGAACAAAAGATGCACCAAAAGAAGTTGCTAATTCGTATAGAAGGGAGTTTCGTGGAATTTCTTTAANAGCGATCCAATATATGGTGTGTCAGACGGGGTCAGCTTTCTTGGGTTTCACACGGTCGATAAACGCAATTACGCTAATGGCGACGCTCCCTGTTTTGGAATTGAAGGAATTTCTGGTAATAGTTTGACTGGAATAATGGAGATGGGCAGGGTCCCCAGACCAAACGACTCCTTCTATGACGGTCAGTTTGTCATCACGCTCAAGTTAAACGAACACTGGGGCTCATGCTACACTGCGCATGACGGAGGCTTTGTGAAGACCGCTGCCTACGAAAAGCGACTGCTGCTCAGCAAAGGTCTTACTCTCGAGGTTTACAAAAACAATAAAAAAGAAAGAGTTGGGATAAAGTTTATCGAAGTCACTATTATGTAACATTCTTAGAGAGAAATATCAGTCGGTCACGATGTGAACATAAGCAGTCTAGCACTCACACGGTACAGCAATTATATATTGGTGGCTAATTTGGAAATGAACGAGTAGAGACTGTTAAACTAGAGCATTTAAATGTAACAGCAACTACAAAATTAAGGCATATGTAACTATTAATTAAGACACAGTCAGATGATTTGATGCTAAACAATTGAAATTTTTGTTTGCTGAAATGAAAATAAAAGGTGTCAGAAAAAATATAGAGCGCGCTTGATCATGATTGCCTATTGCATCTATTCAATGAATAATGATGCAGATGCTTTTATGAAGTGCTTTACTCGCCCTCTAACTCCTTATTATAAAGTTCTAATAGCAACAATTCCTCCTGCTCCCTACCCTACCCTTCTACTTTCCCCCTCCACCGAGCTGAAAGTTCACTGAAAGCCCCAATGTAGCAAATCCACTGATGTTAGCCATCTTGAATCCTTGAACATAACTGACTTACTGCTACGATGCTGAACAGTTAAACTGTTCTGACAACATTTGGGACTCTCCTTTTGTCTAATTAACTCGTTTTTGCCAATCGATTTAATTGTGATAGCACGTGTATATTTTTCATAAATTAACAAAAGCCTATAAGCTGCTTTAATTTTCGTTTCAAGCCTCATAAAAGCAATTATCATTTATCTACTGTGTCCGTCCCAGCCAACAACCAAAGCCACCTGTTTTACACATTTTTGGCTCTTTTAAGATGCCGCGATTTTAATTAGATTTTTCACATTTTAAAATGCCTAAGCGGATTTTATTTTACTTTTTCGTTTATCTGAAATTGAGCCCCACCTATCTTAACCGGAAGGTGGGAATGTCTTCCAGTTGCCTGTTGTATGAGAATAATTCTGTTTCTGCTCAGTAACTTTATTTATAAAATAAATGTTGTCCTTCTGATGTTCTCGTTTTGATGTTGTTCCAACCAAATGCAAACAGCACGTCAGTGGCCCCACCTGTTTGTCATGAAATTGATTTTCTTCGTCGTGTCCCATTTTTCACCATGACAACCCCAAAACAGAAGTTTTGGTGAAGCAAATTTGCCTTAACTTCCATAAAATATTATTATTTACAACTTTCATATGTTTTTCACTTGTCTGGCAAGTTAGCTGCTCTTCACATTATATTCCAAATAAATGCTCACGACTTGACATTTTAGTGAAATTTCATACGCCTAATGTAGGGTCTCATTTGACTTCTCCATTTGTACACATTTGAGCCCCGCATCAATGTACTTACCAGCATGATAATATATCGACCATCTCGTTATTGCGGAAAAACAAAAGGCGACCGAATAACATTGCGTTCACATGCAGTTCACCCTAGACTCGGAGAGAAAATGTTGGTGGCATAACAGTAATTTACTTTGCAGAAAATTGTGTAATTACGTTTCAAACCCCTAGTTGCGATTTATTATTACCCCCTCCCCCCATTAAAATTCCGTAATTACCTTCTAAAGATAGAAACAAATAATCGAGGAGTACTAAAAAAACATCGTTTGAAACGTTCGTTCAGACACTCGTAGATAAAAGAATTTTACCCAGACCCTTTATCACGAAAGGGAGGCACGGTGGCCTCATGGTTAGTGCGTTCGTCTCCAGACCGAGCGTTCCGGGTTCGAGCCCTGGCCGGGGACACTACGTTGTGCTCTTGGACAAGACACTTAAAATTCACAGAGTCTCTCTCCACCCAGGTGTATAAATTGGTACCGGGAAATTTAATAATGGGGGTAACCCAGCGATGGACTAGCATC